GCCAGTCGGCAAGGCACCTGATGATGATAATGCATGTTCCTAAGAATTTTCGCAAGGATTTCCCCTCTATTTATGTGTAAAACCGGAAGGTCATGTGAAAATTGAGCATCGACCCCACAGCAGTAGTTTGAGAAGCAAACACACCAGCTACTGTGCCTTATTGCTTTATTTCTTAATTAGCATAATCTGATATGCTAACAGTGTATGAGATCGTGTTGAGCCACATCTGTCCCGTTGTTTAGTACCCACATCTGTCCCGTTGTTTAGTACCCACATCTGTCCCGTTGTTTAGTACCCACATCTGTCCCGTTGTTTAGTACCCACATCTGTCCCGTTGTTTAGTACCCACATCTGTCCCGTTGTTTAGTACCCACATCTGTCCCGTTGTTTAGTACCCACATCTGTCCCGTTGTTTAGTACCCACATCTGTCCCGTTGTTTAGTACCAGTCTTGTCAAAGCATCCAGTATTTTCTAGATCTATTTTCCTAGATCTTATGGCGATTACTTCATGTTCACTGCCAGGAAAGAAATCCATGGCAAACTACATTAAGATAGCAAGAATTGCCAAGGCTTTATACACATCTTTAGATAAAGGGTGTTTAATGGGTGCACCGTGGCACCGGTAAGAATCTTCTAGACGTCATAAAATGCATTCTTGTGTTTGACATGTCAGTCGTGTGACACCTGCCTTGACTGTCCCTAGGTATCCTGGGTTTGAACCTCTGTGACGGCCTGCGAGGCGACGCCCTGATCGTCATGGAGCTGGTCAGTCCTCGCACCCTGCAGTCCGTCTTGGATGACTGCAGTGAGACTGTGACCCTGGACACTAGGCTCAAGTTTGCCCTGCAGGTAGGAACCAGGAATGCACTTTTAATTCTAGTTCTTGAAACTTCCACTAAAGTCAAAAAGATAAGGTCAATTTAACACGCATTTAGGCGTCTTGTGCATATAGAGTTTGACCTATATTTTTTGTAAAACCAGGCGGCACTCAGGTGTTGATGGGGTCAAGATAATGTGGGCCATCTTTACTTCCCGTCACTTCATTTGCTACCAGTTTAAGGCTGGGTTGACCTGGGAGCCAGGGTTATTTTTTTAAAAAAGTGTTTGAAGCCAACACTGATGATATGGTAATAAAGAAATAATACACCTGTGTCTGTTCTACAGAACGTGTCAAGATTTGTGCAATCTTGCCTAGCTTGCCGATTTTTCAAAACGGCCGAAACCCACTTACAGTGGATTTTGTCACATTGTGGAGTCTAAGGCACGGAAAGCGTTGATGCTTTAGCCAAAGAAGACAGCAGCAAACCGCAGATCTACCTGCCACGATCTTTTCCAAAAGTCAAAACCCTTATTAAGAGGAAATCAGGAAAAGATTGGAAAGCTAACATGGGTTACAAGCATGAAACAAGATTTCCTGTCACCCGAACATAATAAACACGGTCACAATTTGTTGTTTACGCACTGGATACTGCAGACTCAACAAATGCTGATATAAATTAGGTATGATCCACACAGCTCTCTGTCAGTGTCTTTGTGCTCAACAGGCTCCAGAATATGTCTTACAAGGCTGTTTTGTCCTGGTGGATCTTGGAATCATGTGGCCACACCCGATAGAACTGACAACCACGTTTTGGGGAAACATAAGAGACCTTGAAAGAGACCTGTGGGTAAACATCAACAAGTGTCGTGGCCCCGACGCCAGCAGATCAATGACATGATCCTCCTGTGGTTCCATGGAGGGAGAACCTTGTCTGAACCTCCGAACTCTGTATAACTAGCGTGCAGTAATAGGCGACTAGTTAAGATTGTGGTGAAATTAGATGTGTTGGGCCGAAATGTGCATATATCACAACCTAGCTGAAGGCCACAATACAAAGTGCCGACCGTAATTCAAGAGTAAAGGCAGAAGACGAAAAAAAAGTAAGAAAGATTTAGGATCGAGTTCTACCATCTTGAGAGGATGCGTGAACTTGTTTCATTTATTTCTGTTTTGTCGATAACATCCAGTGGTAAATCTGTCAATAACATCCAGTGGTAAATCTGTCAATAACATCCAGTGGTAAATCAAGAGTTTTGAGTTTGTTTTCTCTTCATGGTACTGCTGACCAGTCCTTAGATGCACAGATTCCACCTCAGCAATGACCACTATTACGACGATTGCCTCGCATTAGTGTTCTGAGGTTAATAGTGCCAGTCCTATGCTGTTTGATCAGATTTCTTATACGTCCAGTGTGCCTCCTGTGCTGATCTTTACTCGTACTTCTCGCATTCCTGGCGACGATGTGCTGATCTTAGATTTCTCGACTGTCCTAACTCTGTACAGATGTTAACAATTTTGGCGTGATCCATAGAAGCAAGTGAAGCAGAACCCGCCAGTCTAACAGATTTTTCATTGTCAACAAAACATGCGTACCCTGGCACAAAGATGAAGTTACACTCCACCCACAGAGTAGTTTTGTAATGACTCAGTCCAGTCTCTGCGACCAGAACCTGACTCGACCAAAGAAGCATGCACACATTGGCAGTGGCGTGGCAACATTAAGTGTTACCCAGTACGGAAAAGAATTTCTGTTACCAACGCCCCCCCCCCCATACACACACACACACACACACACACACACACACACACACACACACACACATATATATATATATATATATATATATATATATATATATATATATATATATATATATATATATATATATACATATACATATACATATATATATATATTATAATAATAAAACACCTTTTTGGGCAATTTTGTCATACCCGAGATATGAGTCATCAGTGCTTTCATAGCAAGGTGTAGCGAATGTCACATCTGACAATTATCCTGTTTATGAAAATCATCATTTCAGCCATCGTACGGATGATTCCCGCCTTTCAACCTTCTGGTTCATCTCTTTCATTCCAGCCATCTGGTTCATCTCTTTCATTCCAACCTTGTGGTTCATCTCTTTCATTCAAGCCATCTGGTTCATCTCTTTCATTCCAACCTTGTGGTTCATCTCTTTCATTCCAGCCTTGTGGTTCATCTCTTTCATTCCAGCCTTGTGGTTCATCTTTTTCATTCCAGCCTTGTGGTTCATCTCTTTCATTCCAGCCTTGTGGTTCATCTCTTTCATTCCAGCCTTGTGGTTCATCTCTTTCATTCCAGCCTTGTGGTTCATCTCTTTCATTCCAGCCTTGTGGTTCATCTCTTTCATTCCAGCCTTGTGGTTCATCTCTTTCATTCCAGCCTTGTGGTTCATCTCTTTCATTCCAGCCTTGTGGTTCATCTCTTTCATTTCAGCCTTGTGGTTTATGTCTTTCATTCCAGCCTTGTGGTTCATGTCTTTTATTTCAGCCTTGTGGTTCATCTCTTTAATTCCAGCCTTGTGGTTCATCTCTTTCATTCAACTGTCTAGCCACCATCGTGTCCTACGCGCGCACACACACACATACACACACACGCACACACTCGCACGCGTGCAAAGTTGTTCCCTGTGGTGAGACAGTTTGTGTAACTGCAGAATGTGATGGTTGTGGTAGTGGTTGTTGTTGAGACAGTTTGTGTAACTGCAGGATGTGATGGTTGTGGTAGTGGTTGTTGTTGAGACAGTTTGTGTAACTGCAGGATGTGATGGTTGTGGTAGTGGTTGTTGTTGAGACAGTTTGTGTAACTGCAGGATGTGATGGTTGTGGTAGTGGTTGTTGTTGAGACAGTTTGTGTAACTGCAGGATGTGATGGTTGTGGTAGTGGTTGTTGTTGAGACAGTTTGTGTAACTGCAGGATGTGATGGTTGTGGTAGTGGTTGTTGTTGAGACAGTTTGTGTAACTGCAGGATGTGATGGTTGTGGTAGTGGTTGTTGTTGAGACAGTTTGTGTAACTGCAGGATGTGATGGTTGTGGTAGTGGTTGTTGCTGAGACAGTTTGTGTAACTGCAGGATGTGATGGTTGTGGTAGTGGTTGTTGCTGAGACAGTTTGTGTAACTGCAGGATGTGATGGTTGTGGTAGTGGTTGTTGTTGAGACAGTTTGTGTAACTGCAGGATGTGATGGTTGTGGTAGTGGTTGTTGTTGAGACAGTTTGTGTAACTGCAGGATATGATGGTTGTGGTAGTGGTCATTGCTGAGACAGTTTGTGTAACTGCAGGATGTGATGGTTGTGGTAGTGGTCATTGCTGAGACAGTTTGCGTAACTGCAGGATGTAATGGTGGTTATTGAGGGTGATTGTAGGGAGAGGATTCTGCATCGAATAGCGGAGCACGAATGGGTCGGGGACTGATGTGCTGGGATGTCGGTGCGGACGTCAATTGACAAGACTGTACAGGCCAGCACAGTGACTTGTGGATGCCAGTGCAGTCTGAGGATTATTACTGCATGATGGGATTCAAACAGTTAATTATCACACAAGTCCAGCTCAAACACATTACAGTTATACTGGAGCCCACGACGGTTACATAATAACTTGAAGTCACGGCCCAGCTTGCGATTGTGCCGTTATAAAGTCGTTCTGCAAAAATCTTACTGCGTGAAAGCAATCACTGTTGTATGCTGTGTGTAGGCGCGCACACGAATAGACACGTGCACCCACCCATACACACACTCTAACCTTTACACACACCCACCCACACACACAAGCACACACACACCCACCCACATACAAGCCTACACAGCAGGTGAAAATGTGCATTAATGAAATGTGATCAGCCACATACTCTATGACCCACAATATGTATGTAGTAATGTCGTGATCAGCCACACACTCTATGACCCACAATACGTATGTAGTAATGTCGTGATCAGCCACACACTCTATGACCCACAATATGTATGTAGTAATGTCGTGATCAGCCACACACTCTATGACCCACAATATGTATGAAGTAATGTCGTGATCAGCCACACACTCTATGACCCACAGTATGTATGTAGTAATGTCGTAAACATCCTGATGTATTTTTTTATTGCATCCACAGGCACTCTACCGTACAGAGCTCCCGAATTAATGAGGGGTAGCTTCCCTTCCAACAAAGCAGAAACAAACACATTCTGGAAAGTATCACATAATAGCATTTTCAAAATCCTCTAAAGTATTGGGAAAACCAAGACAGCAAGGCTTTGTTATTCGCTGGGTCTAGGACCCAGTACCGAGAACAAGACACAAGTTAAGACCAAAGAAAACATCGATGAAACAAAGGAAGATGTATCAATGCAAACATGCCTGGAGTTAGAGAGAAATCAACAATGTGGATAGTGGAGTTATGTAACATCAGAAGGATAACATACCAAATGATACTTTACAATGCTATTTAATATTTGTTGTGTATTGTGACGAAAGTGTCAGTGTTGAAGCTGAATACATTTATCATTGAACCTCTTTATTTGTGTAGTTACGTCCCTGGAACTACAAACTAATTTGTTAACTCCAGTATGTGGCCCAATATTTATTCTCCTATAACAAATATCCATTGTGTATCAATCCTTGTTGTCCAGGCAACCCGAGAGACGCCACACTGCGGTGCCAATCCTCACTGGCTGATCTACCAAGTCACCAAGGGCAACAGGCGACCCACCTACCACTACACAGGAAGTGATGACAGCATGGAGCTTAAGTACTGTGACCTCTATATTGCATGCTGGGACGCTAAACCAGAAAACAGACCCTCAGCGGAGGATGTCATTGTCTCCTTGAGCAGCTTGCAGATCTGACCGCCAGGACGAGAGACTCCAGGAGCTGTCTAAGCAGACATTGATTGATATCTTGCCACTTTGATCTCAAGGTTCGTTGTCAGTATTACTTTTTTCCACAAGTCTATCTTTTTCCTCCTGATGCACCAGTCAGACATTGTTTACGGCACTGAAACACTCATAAAAAAAAAAAAGAATAAATTACACTTTACAACGTTTTCAGGCGTATTGGGCATATTGGGTTTGACTTATATCTTATAGACCAATCACCACTTGGTGGGTCATGTGGTCAGCATCACACCGGTCGCCTTGACTTCCCAGGACTGCACCTGGTATCCACTCAAGGCTCGGTTGACCTGAGAGCCAAGGTAATTTTTGAAAGGCTGGCTCCGCCAAGACCCGAGGCCACCAGACTGTCATATAGGTTAACAATATTGCAAGCCAGTTTGCAAGATGCTTGCAGATGTAACAAACTACACAAGATGGCTTACACAAGTTAAACGGTTGACAAACTGTTGATACTGTTGCCATGTGACTCCCGTTTGATTTCTGTATTTGTGTCTCAGTACAATTGACATGTGTTCTACTGGTATCGGTGTTCAGTTTGACCAGGCAGATCTTCTGTGTCCACACAGTAGCTTTTAAAAGACTAAATATTTCATTGTTTTCCTTAGTATAGTTCTAATTGTTAACGTTGACTTATATTCAACAAATAACCCAGAAATGTTGAACAGGGTATTTTGATAAAATATTACTGCTACAGTTACTGCTAGCTTGTCAACGAACAATGCTAGACATAAGTTAATTGTTAAATATTAATTACTAATTACATGAAGTTTGGCAAATCAAATATTGTCAGGTTGTTAGTGTATGCACGATACTGTTTGGCGATATGTCTATATTCTTTTTATTGTTAGTTTGACATATCCGCTAGATCATGCATTATAAATAAATTACATAATAGCTTAATGTGAAAATGTACTTGTATCTCTTGACTACCCGCAGTGTGGTAGATGTAATAACAGTTACGACCTCTAGTGGTGGTGTGCTAGGGCTGCTGCTTGCCGCTCTACTGGTCCTGATTCAGTCCCCCTCAGAGGCAGACCAGTACGACCCTGGCATCTACGAAGAAATAAATAATTAACTATTAGGTAAATGTGTCTCTTTAACTGGATTCTCCTCAGTACTTCTCAGGCACTGGCTGCTGTTTAGAGAGGTTAGAGTTCACAGGTCAGACGGGACAGATTGTTTCTCTCGATCAACTACCGTACATCTCCAAATAACAGTCGACCAGAGCTGATCAGTTTCATATTTATTAGCAATAGCACACAAGCTGAGAGGGTCAGTCTCATATCAAGGTTACAGCCGGACACGTCATCCATGCCGAGTCCACGTCATCCATGACGAGTCCGCGTTCTCGCTCTTTCAACATGTTGGAAACGCTTTCATGGCTCAGAGGAAAAAGTTACGAGGAAGAAAACTGACTACCTGGCATCATACGGCATGGTTTACATGGCCGAACCCTTCGTACTGCAAAGACATCGTCTACTATAGAACTACATTAGAGACCTGCCCAGCATGACAAATTCGATACGTTTATAGATCGTCTTCAGTTGCAGACTTGTGTTTGGCTTGAGCTGTCTCCTGCGTTAGCTGACTATGTCTCAGCTATGTTCAATATTTCCACCTGCGGTGTTCTTCAGTTAAAGAGGTGCATTCTGACCATGACTAGAGCCTGTACCGGCCAGCCGTGCCTGTTTGTAAACATAAACTGTAAGTTGTGTGTGCATGATACAGATGTTATTTTCAAACTGTTGTTTGTAATTTAATTACAGATGTTTTTTTTTCAAACTGCTGTTGGTGATTTCATTAGGCATTAAATTTTTGATTGTTTCTGCAAATTACATTTGGTCTGATTCGTTTCATTAGTAATGATTTAATTCTGGCAGAGAGACAAACGAATTGATTTCCCTAGTAATGATTGTGATTCCAGCGGAGAGACAAAAGGGCTATCCTCCGAATAACGGGCACTTATTATGGCGGCCAAAAACACACCCTAACAGGGCCTCAGTCACATGCCGATTGCGCAATTCCTGCGACTATCGCCACCGCCGAGAGTATCTCTCACACCGCTACGCGTGGCTTCGAGCGGGGCTAAACTAGATTGCTGGGACTCACGAGCAGCAGCTACCACATATCCTACAGCTTCCTTCATTTTATTTGCTCGTGAGTCCCAGCCATCTAGCTTAGCTCCACTTGTAGCGGCGTGGGAGATACTCTCGGCGGTGGCGGTAGTCGCCGGAAGTTCGCAATTGACATGTTAGGGATTTGTTTGCCGACATTTCTACTTCAATCTTCAAGTTTAGATCTGAAAATTTCTACTTTAGATCTGGAAACTATTAGTTCAATCTGGATTGAAACTCTTTCTTTTGTAAAACAATATAAAAAATTTCTTTAGATCTGGAAACTATTTTCAGATTTGGAGAACAGTTTTAAATGAAATGGTCCACCTGGGACGTTGGAAGTTGGCGGCTCAGATACTTTTAAGCCGCCTCTCCACCATCCCGTTCTATCTCTAAAGGAGAGAACCAATAAAGCTGATTCTCTGAGTCATTGGGGGGGGGGGGGGGGGGGAAGAAGAGAAAACATAATTATGAATAAAATGACAGTTTGTAGGGAAGAGGCAAAGCACGGGAGGGAGACGTAGGCACCCACATACGCAAGCACACGAGTGCGCAGAGGGAGATATATATACATATGGCAAGTTAAACAAAGTGAATGAGAGAAAGAGACAAACATTAGATGTAAGGAAAGAGTTGTAAAGCTGAAGAGCACTGCAGAAAAGAGATTGTAAAGGACAAACAGCAGGGAAAGAAAGAGAGAGAGAGAGAGAGAGAGAGAGAGAGAGAGAGAGAGAGAGAGGAGAGAGAGAGTTGTAAAGCTGACGCCTGTCAACAAATTGTGAGGAAAGTAAAGTCTGTAGTTATCTACAGACGGAGACGCCATACCATAGAGGAGCAGCAATATCTCCACTCACGGGACGTGAAGGTCAAAGCTAGGTCGTCGATTTGTTGCTGTTTACCAGTTTAGCAGGCAATGGCAGCACAACGCTACACTGGTTCTCCACCTTACAATACAGCTGACAGCACAATGCTACACTGGTTGTCCACCTTACAATACATCTAACAGCACAATGCTACACTGGTTGTCCACCTTACAATACATCTAACAGCACAATGCTACACTGGTTGTCCACCTCACAATACATCTGACAGCACAATACTACACTGGTTCTCCACCTTACAATACAGCTGACAGCACAATGCTACACTGGTTGTCCACCTTACAATACATCTAACAGCACAATGCTACACTGGTTGTCCACCTTACAATACATCTAACAGCACAATGCTACACTGGTTCTCCACCTTACAATACAGCTGGCAGCACAATGCTTCACTGGTTCTCCACCTTACAATACAACTGACAGCACAATGCTACACTGGTTGTCCACCTCACAATACATCTGACAGCACAATGCTACACTGGTTGTCCACCTCACAATAAATCTGACAGCACAATGCTACACTAGTTGTCCACCTCACAATACGACTGACAGCACAATGCTACACTGGTTGTCCACCTCACAATAAAACTGACAGCACAATGCTACACTGGTTGTCCACCTCACAATACAACTGACAGCACAATGCTACACTGGTTGTCCACCTCACAATACACTTGACAGCACAATGCTACACTGGTTGTTCACCTCACAATACACCTGACAGCACGATGCTACACTGGTTGTCCACCTCACAATACAACTGACAGCACAATACTACACTGGTTGTCGACCTCACAGTACATCTGACAGCACAATGTTATAATATATGACTTTCAGTGTACCCGACTGGCAAACACACACGTATTGGTGTAAATGTTTTAAAACTATATTTGGCAATATAAATTCCATCATGCTAATAAATTAGCTGCTGCCGCCCCCCTGGGCAATGAGCTATTCTACGATACAGCGGAGATGTGAATGCTCTCTGGTATCAAGTTAAAACTGTAGCAGAAAAACAGGACATCCAGATCTGGACCAAATGATGCAGTTGGCAGTCGGCACAGAGTGTGGTCGATAGTGTTCGCTACTGAGGAGGTGGACGGGCCATGTATGGGAATGCACCGAGTGCAGTGATTCAGTTGTTGATTCATTGGGTCACTTCTAATTTTCTGTATACACATTACCTTAATCTTTGTTCATGCGAGTAGTTTGTGTGGTATTGAATACTCCATGACACACACGCACACATAAATGCACACATACACGCGCTCACACACACTCACAGAAGGCGATGAGAGACAGGCATGCAAAAAATGGCGAGAGAGAAAGAAAAAGAGAAACAACAAGAGAGAGAGAGAGGTAGAGAGAGGTAAAGAGAGAAAGAAAGAGAAAGAAAGAGAGAGAGAGAGAGAGAGAGAGAGAGAGAGAGAGAGAGAGAGAGAGAGAGAGAGAGAGAGAGTTAGACCCATCTCAACATCAGTGTGAGAAACACTGCTATAACTATAACATTGATCAAATGTAAGTCCGTGAGACAGAAAAGAATCTCAGTTGTTGGGCAGCTGTGCAAAGGTGGCAGCACATGTCGGGTCAGGAATCACAGAAGCGGGTAACTACAAATGCTGCTAGCACTACCTGGTGAATCTAATAGTGTTTACTTCTGGAGTCACTTACTTTCCTATTGGTGTGACTCAAGTATGTACCAAACTGTTGTTTCCTTTTGTTTCTAATGTGTGTCATGGTATTTACTAACTATGTCGTTCTCTTGGTTGGTTTGTTGGTCTCTTTTACAGCGTTTTACTAATGCATTTTCCACAAATAGACGGAAGTCTACTGTCTCGCCACCTAAGCTACTGAGTTCAGAGCTTGGTACAGCACCGTGAGCTGTCTTTGTCATGCTCAATGCCTTTAATCTTTGCAGCGCTTGTGCCGTGGTTTTCAGGATAGCGGGTAGCTG